GCCGGAATAAATTTTGATAAAACACAGAATCAAGGAAACAGTTTACTAATGAATCATTATGATCGTCATACGGTGGGATGTCACTGGGGGAGTACGCCTGTGACCCGTCGTTGTCCTATTGAGAAGCTCAGCTGTAGGGGTCAAGGAACGATGGACAATTTGTAAATTTTATGAACTCTCAGGGATATTATGCATTTCTAAATTCCTAAACAAAATGTACGGTAAGACCGTGGTGGATCACCGCTTTACAATAGGAAGCTCATTTTTTATCGAAAATGTTCCCGAATTTTTTTGCCACTCTTTAAAATAAAAAGGATTATCCTTACTATTATTTTGTATTTCATTTTGTAGCTAAAATGTGAGGGCGTTATTAGGCCTGTATTGGCGACCTCTCTTATAACAAATACGTAGTTCCTATGGCCCTTCTTACAAGTTGTCTTGAGTCTTCCATATATACTACGATTGTTTTAAATTTATCTTCCATCTCCAATTTCTTTATTTTTATCAATTTCCGTTCACGTAAGAATATACGTATCACCAGATATTAGCTAAATAAAAATAACAGAATAAGAAGTGTGCGCAGACGCAAAATAAGGCCTATACTGAAAGACAGCCTGTCCGCAAGCAATTGCTGTGACGTAATACTTCATAGCTTTTAGTCTGTTAATTAATTTTAAATCGTTTTCTATTAGGCAACCTAGTGTCCATATAGATTGAACACAAATACTGTAGTGAAGTATCGCGCGATTTGAAGAAATCGATTTAATAATTTACCGTACAATTAAAGATGGCAATAAGCAAAATTGACTACACATTTTAATGTTATAAATGCTTATTTCCGATTTTGTGGTGATGCCTTACAGCAGGTAACTTATATAGGACACAATAATGCAGGAAATGTGACGTATGTGCAATTATCAGTGGAAGTTGATAAGAGTTCAGGCGGAATTGATTTTAGTTATAGATACACAAAGTTCTTGTAACTAAGGAGGGCGCTAGATGTAATTTTGAATTACAGTACAGTATGCTATTCCAGCTCATAAAATGTGAAATATTCATTTTATAAAATCCAGCAAACAATAATAATTCAATCAATGGTTTTTCAAGATGTTGGAGCCATTTCGACACTAATAATAATAATAATAATAATAATAGTAAACTTACTTTTTTATCTTTTGCAAATTTGTCGGTCCTCTAACCTAAAGTAGGCCTAAGTCAACTTAGATTACTTTTAAAATTACTATTTGGGTCGAAATGGCTCCAAATATTCTATAAGAATGTGTATGTAGCGTATGATCCTATTCCCCCTTCCAATATTTAAAATAATTTCTATAACAAATAATCACTATAATACTTCCGTTAGCGGGCCTTAATTGTCTTCATTCCAGAGAGGCGCACATTGCTGAGAAAATTACAGCTCCAGTTAAATTTAGCAGCCGGACTCATTGCTCCCACTCCTAACCGTGAGTAGCCTATATATTCCCAACTCTACATCGTCTCCATTGATCACCCATTTATCTGAGAATTAACTTCTACTATAATTCGGGAAATTCACACCTCAGTGAGGACACTTAGCCCACATGATGCTCCTAAAGTTTCATTGTGGGCAAATGAAATATATTAGCTCTAGACTACATTCTGTGCCTAGGTATTGATAGTTTTACTGATTTTATGAAACTGGCACCATAGTATAGTGAAAATCAGGGCCCCGTGACCATTTTTCTGGGACCAAGGTTTCTCTGCTGATTTAGCATCACTAAGGTATAAATAAGAAATTGAGCGAGGGAGAACCTCCAGAAAAAGGGCGGAACACATTTTTTTGGCGGCCATTTTCAAAATGGCGCCAATATTATGATATTGGCTCATAACTTCACCTATATCCAATGAAAAAGGGCAAATCTGGTATCTAAGTATATGTTATTAGGGTCACTGAAGCCAATGAGACAGGTTCGAAAACGTAAAATGGCAGCCATATTGAAATTCAAGATGACCGCTTTAACAATGGTCAAAAATTGAATATTTCAGTATAATTCCACATCCCCTCTATGGAAAATGGTAAATTTTGATCTAATCATATGTGTTTGGGCTCTCTGAATACAATAAACATGGTTTCGAAAAGCTAGGATGGTACCGTAGTCATTTTGAAATTCAAGATGGCCGCCATAAATATCCTCAAAAATCGAATATTTTAGTATGTAATTCCACTTCTCTTTGATAAAAAAATACGTTGAGTTTCAAGAGAGATATCAGCAGTTGTCTGTCAGAAGGTGGGTTTTTTTTAGCAAAATCTCATGACAATTTCAAATTGCTCTAACTCATCATAAAATGCTGGCGCGGAGCCAAAAATTTCACTGTGAAGTTAACTCAGGTAGACCACACCCCCCCCCAACCCCAACAGGCAAATATTGGGCGATTTCAAGGGGGTCGGGCAAAAAAGTGTGTTGCAACCATATGGAAAGACTCTTTAGCCCCAACCATGGTGGGGTTAAGGTGGGTGGTTCTTTAGTCTCTGAAAGTCCCCTCCTCACCTCTCTTTCGAATTCCTGGATCCACCACTGTTGTTAGCTATTATTATGATGCTTATTGGTAGGCCTACTAATATTACGGTATTTATCAGTCTTAAAAACGTTCAGAGTGCGCTACTTCCCAGAGGGCTTCGCCCCTGGACCTCACCGGGGTTTTAGGTACTCACAACGCCACCCCCCCCACCCCACCTTTCAAAATCATGGCTACAGTACGTCCCTGATGTGGTTTTTTTTTTAGCGCATACGGTATCTCTATAATGCGCTTTTAGCCATATGCCTAAATAAAATTCAATTTTCATTATCTGCATATTTACCAGTGTTTTCATAATGACATAGGCCTATACCGCAGCATTTCCAGCTTTTTACTTATATTGCACAATTTACAAAACATACTTGATAT